GTGACGCTCGCCACTTGATTTAAGTCCAAATAAGCTATATGTCATGTGTATAGTGCATTGTGCAACCAATTGTATTTACTGTGTAATCCCTTAATTCCATTTAAAAAAATCCAAAAAAAAACCAATAATCTTTAAAATTCATAACTAAATAAGAATAAAAACATGCAAATAAATATTCATTCATTTTAACATTGTAGAGATTCATAACAAAAATGAAAATATAAAGTTAAATTAAATAAGTATAGCCAATTAAAGAGTAAAATGATAAACAATTAATTAGAATTAAAGTAATTGTCTCAATTTAATGAAAATTTTACCAAACGTTCTTTGAATTATAACTGAGTTTTGGTATTTTTTTAAGTGAAAATGATGAATAATGGAGAGAAATATGTTTTTTTTTAGAATAACTGAATAGATAATCACAAAAAAATTAATGGATGAAATTCATAATTCATTAAAATGTGATAAATGAATGTGAATTAGTTTTCTATAGTTAATGAGAATGGTGAATAATCAAATCTAAAATCATCAAAGCAATTTCACTAAGATTCTTAAATAAAAATAAATTTTAATTGAACAATTCAATAAAATACCTTAAACATTCAAAATTCAGAATAAGTAAAATAGAATTCTAAGAAATTACTAAATTTTAACTTAAAATGCCAATCACATAGAAAAATATAAGAAATGATTTCAACGTTTTTTTATTAAAAAGGAAATAGCTATCCATAAAATATCAAATAAAAAAACAATTAATGACATTTTTTTGAACTTAAATTGATTTGAAATTTTTAGAATAGGTTTAGAATATCATTTTAAACTCCTCTCTAAATTTATATGACATTTGGAGGTCAAAGGAAGTTATTGTAATTTCTATGGGTTTCCATTATTTAGAGAGTATTGAATACTCATACTGAACTAAATTGTTTTGTTTATTCAGTTCAATTTCAAAAATGCTTTTTATTTATTTAGTTTCAAAACTTCAATATTCATATTTTGATTATTAGTATAAGTAATTCTTAATGTTTGTTGTAATTGTTAATATTTGTCATAATCAAACTCCAACTAGCAACTAAATTTTTATTTGTTAATAATTGAAATATTCAAACTAAGTTAACTTCAATTGATTTGATTTTATCAAAATTTTGATAGGTTTGATTTTTCATATTTAGTTATTTGTTGCAATTGTTTTTCACTTGTTTGGAAGCTGATCTATTTAAACTAACCAAATGTTCACTCATAGTAGTTTTTTATAAGAAAAGATAACAATAAAAATTAAATAATAAAAATTAATTTATAAATATTGAAATAACTTATGAAAATTTTCCATATTGTTCCTAAAGCAATTTTTTTTATTTTAAGAATTAATCCCATAAAATTTTGTAAACCCAAAACAAAAATAGAATTAAAATTTTTAACTAAATTAATTAAAATAAGAAAAAAATCATAAAATAAAAAACAAATTATGTTAAGTTTTATGAAGTTGATGTCACCTCTCCAGGTGATTTTGAGCATTTCAAAAAGCTTAATGTTTTTATTTTAAGAATTAATCCCATAAAATTTTGTAAACCCAAAACAAAAATAGAATTAAAATTTTTAACTAAATTAATTAAAATTAGAAAAAAATCATAAAATAAAAACAAATTCTGTTAAGTTTTATGAAGTTGATGTCACATCTCTAGGTGATTTTGAGCATTTCATAAAGCTTAATATCATTTTAATCTGCATATTTAGCTTAAGGTAAACA